CCCCCCCCACCTGCAAGACGGCGCACTGGTAGTCCCTCCCCCCCGAGATAGACTCCACCAGTACGCCCTCCCCGAGCGGCACGGTGGGCAGGGACTCCCCCATCTCCCCGGGCTCGTCGCCGAGGCTGTCCGCCGTGCCCTGCCCGTTCTGCCCGTAGAACCCCTCGCCCCAGCACTTGAGGCTGCCGTCCTGGAACACGGCGCACGGGCCCCCGCCTATCGCGCCGACGGTGTTGGTGCCGTTGACGCCGAGGTCGACGGAGTCTGCGATGGTGCCGTCGCCGTTTCCGGTGGTGGTCTCGTCCCCTCCCCCGAGGGCCCCGTACGCTGCGTCGCCCCAGCAACGCACGTTTCCTGTGGTATCGTCGTTATGGGGAGGCGTGCNGGGGGGGGGGGGGGGATACTCCTGTTTCAAACGCTGTGTGCCTGATCATGTATGCCTTTGGGTTTGAAGTTTTCAAGATGAAGCGCGGCTTGACATGTCCTGCTGGAGAGCATCTAATGCTAACCCTAGCCCTATGTATCCTATCCTTCGACTCTGCACCTTTTCCCACAACGTCTACCGTACATTCTCGCTAGCGTGACGGTGATGATCGTACGCAGCGCTTTCCAGTCCAAAAATCTCGAAAATGGAAGGGCACAGGTACTCTTAGCGATAGGCTTGCAGCGGGACACGCAACAAGTATCCCTGACAGGTACATCCCGCTCGCCTGTTACATATTGGCAAGATGTTGAACTCTAACGTGTGGACGCAAATCCGGGTCTCGAACTGGTAGTGTTTCCGTTATTACTACCAAGGTACTTCAAAACAAAAACCGTACCGGAGTCGAGGAGATCGCGGGTACATTTTTCATACGGCATAAACAAAACGCACCGCGAAAAGACAAACCGTGCCGGAGTCGAGGAGAACGCAGGTACTGTAGGTCCGGTTCAAATATGACAACAACAAAAAATGTACCGCGAAAAAACAAAACCGTACCGTTATCGAGGAGAACGCAGGTCCGGTCGCCCTGGGCGGAGACGGCCACAGCGGTGCGGTTCGTTCCCAAAGAAACGGCGGGTAAATCGTCGCCCATCTCAAAGGCTTCGTCACCACGATCGTCGGTGTCATCGAGACCCAGCTGACCCTTGTTGTTCCGCCCGAAACACTTGTGGTTCGGTGTACGCGCACATGTAGCAGGGATGGTAAGGAGGGGATCGAGCGGAGCAAATGAGGAGAAAAGGCGGAGCAGGAACCGAAAGAGGGGCGGTTGGTTCGGGAAAAAATAGAGAGAGATGAAGGCAGGACAGCAGGAGGTGTTTTCATCACAGCGCAAGCGACGTATCGCTATGAAGTGCAAATGATTCTAACGCTCCTCTCAGCAGTACCACTATGCATGCATTTCGTGATGAAGAAAAAACAGCAGGCGCACAGCAGTGTAGTCCTGCATCAGGCGCGGGCAAAGGCAAAAACGACGTGAGCATACACGCGAAAAACCAAGCTTCACTTCCAACCAACCCCGCTGCCACATACAGATCTACACATAAAAACTTCGCAGTGAAGAATTTGAAGCTAAAAAAACTCAAAGATTCGAAAGCTAAATTATAATAAGAACTTGAGCACTGTATGTGAGCTCCACACAAAAACCAGTATCACGGCCATGGTAGCACAACCTACGAAAGAAGAAAAGCCTCGGCCGAAACTGACTAGAGGCTCGTAAGTGCGGAAGGTTCCTGTATTGCAAGAGCGGCCTGCATTGTATACCCGGTTGTTGCATGATCAATCTTGAACAAAAAGAGCGAAATCGCACAGGGGGGTTTTATGTGTCGATTATCCCAAATGGATTGTTGCGCGGGAACAAAAATTGGAGGGTGCGTACATTCGACTTGTTTCGGGATTGAGTTGGGTTTGGGTCAATTTCGGCGGGAGTGGTGTGCAGGACGCCATCATTTTGAAACGATGGAAAAGATGAGTAGGACACAAAATGGTAGCAGGATGTGCAGTGCACTTGTGTGCACATTTTGGGAGCATACAAATGCTGTACATGGACCACTTTAGTGCCCTATGTAACTCGGTTGCACAAAGTAAGCCTGTCGTCTAGCTAATAAAAGCAGGCGACGTCGGTAGGCAATAGAATCACTGGAGAATACTATCGTCTTGATTCGTGATATTTGATTCCTATTTAGTGTTGCTTGGCGTCGCGTGCCCAGTGGGAGCGGTGGGCTCTGGGTATCGATGGACCCGGTCAATGAACTCCACCTACATCACAGACATACGCCGAAAAGTGTTGAATGTTTTGGGGGCGAGTGTACTGGTAGGGACGACAATTTTTGTGAAATGAAAAGTACGTTTGAGTTTTAACGGCTCTTTCGATGTACGCATCCTTCACCAAAATGAATACCCGTTCTTTGGATCGTACTGTAAGCTATGAAAAAGTTCTGTTGCTTGCGACGGACGGTGTCCACGTCAGTTCCACATCAGGCTTACTGAAATATCTTCAGGGAACGGGTTTTCTCATGCGCACACCAGCAGCAGCAGCAGCAGAACAACAATACTTTTGTCAATTTGAACGGTGCAGTAGAGCACTGACATCCGGGTATCCCGCCAAGTGTAAACATGCACCCACGAGCATCATAAGACTACTTTACGTAGACTACATACGTACGCATTGAAACCCATCGAATGTGGCGCAGCACACGGGACGGGCACTAGTTGATTTCAACCAACGAGAAGGATCGTCGTGGACTTGGCGCACGCACACACGACGGGTAACTACTTGCAACTTTCAGGATTCGTTTTCGGAATCTTTTTTGGCGGCCATAACATGTTCTACCCGCTCTCCTGGCAACGAGCCGTCTCCGAGATCCATGGATCGATCCAAAACATGTGCAGAGGGAGGCAGACCGTCGGGCCCATCATGACCGCGCCCATGTCCCTCTGCCTGATCCCGCGCTTACAAGTGCTTCAGGCGGCGACCGCAGCAGTGGGGGGGAGGAACAAACGACCCGCTCCGCTTTCACCACAAAGAGCCAAAACTAGATGATGAAGGAACCCGGCGGCCTGTTTTTCGTGAGAGGACACGATTGAGCTAGCAAAATTTTCCGCCGTCGCCAGCGGCCTGCTTGCGGCGGGCCCGAGGTACGGTGGTGGTGATGGCCAAGCGGGGTCATGTGGCGCGTGATGAGACAGTAGAGAGCTCGTGGCCCCTGGCGTGTGGAGCAGACTACGTACACTGCTCTCCAACGGCTTGTCGACAAAATGTTGTGCCTGTGGTGGAATATGGTGTATCATCATCATACGGAAATAAGATATTTATGTAGCTCGTCTGTCGTCACACACCCACACCTTGAGGCTGCCATCCGCCAGGATGGCGCATGTGTGATCGCTCCCGGCCGACATCGCCACCACGGTGGCTCCCGTGCCGAGGTCGACGGCCGCCAGGCTGTCCCCCATGGTCCCGGCGCTCTGCCCCCGGTCATCCGTGTCTCCCAGGCCAAGCTGCCCGTAGCTATTCCGGCCGAAGCTGTGTGCGAGAGAAACAAAAGGATTTCGGCAAAAAAAAGGAGGCACACATACTCTACAATGAATTGGTCAGCAGGGCAGCGATTCACGTGATCCAGAGTCGCTGATAAATGCCGCTGCCTTTATTATCACAAAATAAAAACCACACACGACCACCAGCTGGTGACCCAGCACCAGGATGGGGGCTTGCTATCTCTCACCATTTTACGGTGCCGTCATCGAGAAGTACGCACGCGTGGTCCGTCCCAACGGCGAGGGCTTCCCCGATGTCGATACAGGAGGCCAGCCCCGCAGCGGCGGCCACAGCCACCATCGCAGCACCACCACCTCTTGTCCCCATCCTTACCTCACGGCGGTGCCCGTTAGAAAGCGAGCCGCGGCGACCAGGCGTGCCCTTGGAGAAAGACCTAAACTACTAGAGTTGTGTTGTTGTTGTTGCTTCCCTCCGGCACCGCGCTCCCAAAAGACGAGGTACGACGACGGTGCAGTAAAAAAAGATGTGAGAATGTGGGGAATGTGCGTAGGTGCGATGTAAAAAAAAATCTCGGACCGAAAAAAAAAACAGATTTTCAACAAAAAAAAAGAGAACGATCGCACCCTCCGAGGAGACCTCCAGCCGCCGGCCCACAGGAGCGTTGCCCACTTGCAACGCAGCAACAAGCTCGTGCAGCTCGCTGTGTCGATTGGAGTCTTAGGAGGGCTAATAGATACAACGCACGAGGGTGGCGTCTGGTCTGAACACAGCTTGGGGGGTGTACATAGCTCATTGGCCAATCTTGACAGGTCAGAACGCCGTACGAATTGAAACCTATCGCGGGATCGGCGTCACGCACAAAAACAGCCCTAGTCCCACGCGCCTTTCCCTCGTAAAATTCAGCAGTGCAAGCGACTGAGGTCACCTCTGCACCCACAGGTACGTGGTGGCCTGTCTTTTTTGTTGGGATTGAGACCCACAGATGATCAAGCTGTGTTTATGAGCGACGGAGATCGATCATGGATGTGTACTTTTTTTTTCTCCCATCATTGGACTCTGTCGTCTGCCCCCTCTGGCCCCCATCCTCCACTTCTACCAGCTAGACGACCCAACCGGGGTCGAATAGGAGGGGAGGACTGGACCCCTTCCTGCGGTTCCTGCCGGAGGTATTTTTATCTCGAGAAGGGTACAGCAATCCCTTCCCTCGCGATCTACGAAGTCGATTATGGTTTACTAACAACCAGCTTTGCAGCGCGTCGCTTTCATAAGACCAGGATTTTTTTAGTTAGAAAAAAACTCTTTACCTTTGCCAGGACTCGAACCCATGACCTGGCCCTAAGCAAGCCGCGAGGCTATCCACTTACTAGACCACCGGGGCGACCGGTCTGTACTTTTTTTTTTTTTCTCCCATCATTGGATTCTGTCGTCTGCCCCTCTGGCCCCTGTCCTCTACTTCTATTAGCTAGACGACCCAACCGGGGTCACATAGGAGGGGTTGGCTGCCCTCCTGCGGTTCCTGCCTGAGGTATTTTTATCGCGAGAAGGGTACAGCAATCCCTTCCCTCGCGACTTACGAAGTCGAGTAGATGGTTTACTAACAACCGAGCTTTGCAGCGCGTCGCTTTCATATTAGAGCAGGATTTATTTAGTGAGAAAAAAGCTCATTCTGCCGGAACTCGAACCCATGACCTGGCCTCTAGCAGACTGCGAGGCTACCCACCATACCACCCGGGCGTACGTGTTGTTGTTGTTGTTGTTGTTTCTCACATTAGCTCTATAGTCCCCAAAAAATGGGGAGCCAGTGGTCTCAAAACCCGGCACATACAACGCCGCGGGGAAACAAAACAAAAATAGGGTACAAACCACTCGGAACAAGAAAACAAAATGATAGAAATAAAGAGCAGGTATCGCACCGACCGTTCGAGAAAGGAGCCCTCGGAAACCGATCAAAACAAAACAAAAACAAAAACAAAGGAGGACGCTTCCCACACCCGCCCAAAGAAAAAATCAACGGGTAACGTACCAGCACCAGGCACTACGCACCAGGGCATGGGAGTAACAGAGCAAACAGGACAAAGAGGCGGCAGATGGGCAGACAGCCAGACGTACAAAAACAAAGGCAACAGCAAAGCGAGATCAAGGTACCCAACACAGCAGAGTAGGCCGGGAGGTCATGAAAAAGAGAAACACAGCACAGAGGCCGAAGGCAATAAAAAGGACATACAAAAAGGAGTATAGCATACAGCAGGGAGGGAAACAGGGCACAACAACATCAGCCGGGTACATAGTTCGCCACAAGTGCTGCCTCGGCCGCCCTACTCGCTTCTACAGCAGTGCCCGGTCGCCGTTTCTTCCCCCCCACCGCCGCTTCCTCGGCTCTCTTTCTCTTCGGTACTGAGATGGCCATACTCTCTGCTTCTGCTTCCCTCGCGCGCTGGCGCTTCGCGGACGCTTCCGCCTCCTGCCTGTGCCATTTCCTCATGAGCCATGCCGCCCCGTCCTCGACCTTGTTGTACCACACCTCCGGGTCCTTGGCGCTCTCTTTCCACTTACCCCCTTCCTTTTCGTCTCCCATGTCGAAGGTCACGAGGTCCTCTCCTAGACGAGACACCCAGTCGCTCTCCTGCCCGCCACGGTATCCCACGCCCCCCGCCGTCGCTCCTAACAACATGCGCTTGGGGAGGCGGCTGTCCTCCATGCGCATAACAAAGCCCGCGAAACACAGTCTCCGTTTGCGCACGGTGGCCTCGATGGTTTCCTCGCAGCCTGCCTGGATGAGGGCCTGGGCATAGGACAGGGGGCGGTCTGAGCGTTTCCGCTTGCTCCAGCCGATGCACCGTGTGAGGAACTGGCGGTGGGTCCCATTGAGCTTCGTGTAGTGCTCCGCTGTTAGGCTCCACGAGGCGCACCCATACAGGAGAGTCTCCACCACTTCAGCCTGGAGAAGCCGGATCTTGAGCTGGCGGTTGGCCCGTCGCCTGTCGTACATCGAAGCACTGTTCCGGCGGTAGCACTTCCACGCTCGGCAGCTGCGGCTCGTGATCTCCCGGTCGGCCTTCCCGTCCGCGGAGATGGTACGTCCGAGGTACACAAACCGATCTGTCTGCTTGTACGTCTGGCCGGCGGCGCTGACCGTGAACGGGCGTTCCTCGATCCCTTTCGGCAGCATGCGCATGATCTCCGTCTTTGGCTTCGATACCATCAGTCCGAACAGGCCGGCCACGCGCACGATGACCGACATCATCTTCTCGAGACTCTCCGGCGAGCGCGAGACGATGGCCGCGTCGTCAGCGTAGAGCATGGCCCACAAGGCCTCCGCGTCCGTCACCACCGTCGTCTTCTTCCCCGCCGACCTGCCCTTCTTGCCCGTGTACTCCATTTGTGTCCCTATCTTGACCATGTCCGCCGTCGCCTTGGGTTCC